ATTAGTCACTATTTTGTACATGATAGCAATCAACTTATAGTTCAATACTCAGGAGAAATTAAATACACAAGAATCAAGTCATTAATTTTTCAATGATATCACAGTACAAATGAAATAAAGAATATATGACTTAATTCAATTATTGTGTGTACAGCCTTTTGCAAAAATTATGAGAATTGTCTAAATATCTAAATATCATAATATCCATATCCATATATTGTCCGGAATACGAAGGTTTGCTAGAATAATTCATTGTTGACATCGAGAAAATGTTCAGAACTACGGATAAGTCTGTTGCCAAAAAAAAACTAAACTACAAAGACAAGGGACTAAGGGCATCGCGCGGGATTACCAATCATGCACTCGATATTATTATATTTAGATATTTCGACAACTCTCATAATTTTTGCAAAAGGCTGTATGTGTATTTTAATGTCTCCTGAGTATTGAACTACAACTTGAAGTTGATTTGCTTGAGTGATATATCATCTATTTACATACAAAATATTTACTAATTGTTATGAAATATTAGGTTTTATTTCACAGATATATGAATTGCTCTAACCTATGTTGTCATATTCCAAACTTAAATAATTTTGCTATAAATATATGCAAATACTGTAGGGAATTAAGTGAAGTCAAAAAACCTGTGAAATATTACACAAATACACTTGCTAGCATGCTTTTACACGCAATTGCATTGTTTTCTTTTGTGTCTCAGTATTTGACTACTTTGTTTCACTGGTTTAATGACTTCACTCTACATGTCGCACCAACATTAAATACACAATAATAACAAATGTCAAAAATTAAAATGAAGCATCGACACTGCATCATTTTTTTTTTCTTGTACTGTTTATGGCTTTTCTGAAAGTAGGATAATAACCCTGACACAATAGTAATCAGAGGGAGATAATATTAGGCAAACATGAATTATCAAAGATTATAGACACAACAGAGTTTCATGGTTTAAGTGCTGTTATTCGATATACATTAAAGCCAGCATCCACACTATGATGGCAATATTATTTTTGCACTACATGAGTCTACATTTGTTTTTGTTAGGTTGCATCCTCAAGTGTTAATTCTCTATCTTTAAATCTGATTGCGAACACTTTTTCCAGTAAATTAATGAAAACTCCATTGAGTGTATGTGCACATGAACAAAATTTCCATTTTTTTTGTTAATTGGGTTTATTATTTATATCTTTTAATGACGTATTTTAGGGGAAGAATGGTGGGAAACATGCAAGAAGTTTTACAGTACAGAAATGAACTAGACATTGTTTTTTGTAATAGTACAATATTTATTGACAAACAAATGATTGATGTTGCTCTTTGAATGCATCTTACAATGTTATGGGACTTCGTGTGG